CCCACGCCCCTCCTCCCTCTGACTGTTTTAAGCAAAGGAAAGCACAAAAACCCGTATTACTTGGAAGGAGGGTGGGGACGGGGAGGCTCAGTGAACGAATTGAAATGGCAGCTGGATTTCTGAAAAAATGGTCTATACTAAAACTCAATTCGGAAAGTCATTGTTTCTCCAGGAAACAACGAGATATAACGTTCCTGATTTTCAGTCCAATTCCTAATCATATCGGTTGAAAGACGACGGAGTTAAGATTATCATATTAAATTACCTGCCATCTTGAAACTCAAGGAGTCTCGGCCTTATCCCTCCAACTTTTATTTCGCTCCTCGCGGCAACGCCGTGTCGACTTATCCCGTAAATCTCAAATGGATTTAATTATTTAACCAGTTATTCTACCGAAAGACTTATGGATTATTAACAACTGTTCGACTAACTTTCTTCCCGACGCTTATAACTTTTCGAAAACACTGAGAAAGTTTCCACCCAGCATGCATTATCTTGCATGACAGTTTGGAGCATCTTCAATTAACAGCAGTAGGTTCGACTCGGTGAGTCGTGAGTCGTGAAAGAAACATTGTTAAAGGCAAATGTAGACTCGCACCTCACTACAGAGTAACAGTCCACGCGAAAGTAGAATAGTTAAAGGATCCTACGTAAATCGGGAAAGTCCTCTTTAGGCTCTTTAGGATTCGTGGGCTTCACTCAATTTCATTCCAGGAAAAACAACCTTCGGCCTAATTTCATCAAGTCTCAACGGCGGATTCATCATTCACGGAGAATGAGTTACGTCAAAGCGCAATGCTGAAAAAATTTGCTCAATCGAATGCTCGAAATTCAAAAGCGAATTTTGACGTGGTTGACGATAACGAAATTCAAGTTATTAGAAGGAAGGATCATTTGCCACGAGACTAAATACATTTCAGGATGATTTCCGAGGATTCTCTCGATTCCCACAGCTGTTCTGGCCCTCTCTAAAGCGACATCCTTTCATCCTTAATCAGCCAAAGGCGATTGGTTTTTTTTCCCGCTATTTATCCACATCCGCTACCTCTCCACTCGTGCATAATGGACGAGTTCACCAGCCATATTATGTAGATGGCATCTTGATGTCTCACTCGCACACAGGTACACCGAGCCTTGTATTTCCAATACCCGCCATTACAAGTCCTCGTCGCGTCAAAGAGACTGGAGACACAAACAGCAGTGGTGTACTTTGCCATCAAGATAGGATACATAACGGGCTACAGTAGGTATATATATATATATATACACACATATATAACGTAACAACGAAAGTACCAAAAAATAAATTATAATTCCACGTCTAACGAGGTCAGCTAATAATAGTTTAACCCATACTGACCTGATTGTGAATTTTGTTCAAAAAGTGCAAAAACAATGATTACTGCCAACAATGCGGATTCTTATTATTAAGCTTGGTGTAATTTGATGCGGTCGATTTGATAAATCGAATTTCGTTCGCTCAATAGAGCACCCGACACGAAAAGCGAGTTTCAATAGGAATTACATTGCGGATAATGTACATAACCTAATTACCAGGCTGGCAGAGATGCATGCCAAAGGCTGCAAAGGGTGGAAAAGGGAGATTTTGGGGGTGATGCGCCTGCAGAGCCTGCAATTTGATGCACCGTTGAACTCGCACACCCCCACTCGCACAGATATTCCTTTAACGTAACGAAAACCAGTTTGCTTGATGCACGCTGAACCGACACATCGAATTAACGGTTCGTCTCAAAGGAGGAGCCTCTTCTAATTTTTTTTATCTTTCCTTTCTCCTTTAATTATTTTCCGTGGATGAAAAACCTGTTCAGCGAATCACAGTCTGCTCACAATGGTTCGTTATAACTGATAGGAATGTAGTAAGGATAGGAGATCCTGTAGTAAGCAAGGAGATCCCTCCCTACAGTGGCACGATAAAATATAGCTCCTGGTGCTCTGACATCACTATGCTAATTAGAACAGACAACTCAAAGCTCGACAGGAATATTAACGGGATCGGATAATGTTCGTAGACGATGCGTCCTACAAAACACGTATGTGTGACATTTCGCTCTGTTTGGTATATATTGTGTGAAACCAGGTTATGATACACGAGATATGCACGCATAGCCTTCTCCACATTTATGCATGTATGAACATTGTACATACACACACGCGGAGTTTCAGCACCAAATGAGCAGCACGCTATCTTAGTCAAAGAGACTATTGTCACGCACTAATCTCATTTCAAAATTAAACAGATGAAACGGTGGATGTAGATGAAAATTACACGTGTTGCTTGGCGTGCCTAATGAAACCCACAGAAACATTCATGACATATCGCACATATCGTGCGAAAAGCTTCATAAAGGAAAAGAAGATTCTCTGCCGAAGAAAAGAAACGCAATGCAACGAGGCTATTAGTAGGTAAAATTAAATAGACAGCTTGCATTGTCGTTATATCAATAGACAGGACTTACGGATTTTCTGACTTTTATACTGACAGCATAAGTCAATGCTACTGTACGCCTTCTGTGCACTCTTGTCGCGTATTTCGTATTAAAATATTTAAGACTGCCTCACTGTGACGAGAATTCTTACCTTTGTATAGTGGGAAGCACTTAAGCATTAAAATACAGGTCCCTTCTGTAGAGTATCCTTAAGCAAGTATTAAAATCATACGCGACACAATACTGATACATAACACGAATAAATATTGGAAAATATACGGAGTAGATAAAAATTGAATTGAAATTGTAGAATGTCGAGAATAAATTACGCTCAAATTGAAATATTAATAAATTAAGTGTTTGAAATATTAAAATAATGCAATAATAAGTTAGATATTAACACTTAGAAACCAGAAATCCTGGCCAAAAAATTTATAGAGGTATTGGAATTTGGGGCCTGAAGCCCCCTTAGGTTATCTACGGCCATAATCTTTCGTGTAGATAATCTAATCAGACTGTCATATTCAATTTGAGATTTTGATGTAATCACAATTTTATATTTTAAATAAATTTCGAAAGTGCGTCAAGATCCAATAATATTTAGTAACATTTGAAAAGCACTCAGTTATCATTACCGGGCTTCTGTACGAATGCTTGCATCTTCTTGCAATAAGTATCTAGCATTCAATAAACAGAGAAACTATGTTGTCAGCACCTATAACAGGTGCGTTCGAAAATGAACCATATTGTTTCGTTTGCAATCGGGTCAAGAGAAAATCAAATTTTGCTTATTAATTAAAGATGCTTGGTTATTTGGAATAGCAATAAAAAAGATATTTTAGTGTTTGAATGAATATTTTTTTAAAATAGGAATTTTAAAATATAACCTATATAACATTTTAAAATATAACCTAAAATATTTTTTAGGCATCAAAACATTTAAATTTTTATCTTTTGACGCTAACTTTCCGACAGTCACGAACATAATGAGTTCTTTGTCAAAGTAATTCCATCCATTTTGAATAGATGGAGGTGCAGTAGCTGACTTGTCGGTAGCCCTGTCAGCAAACATAAGCATGAGAACTTTGAGATCGGGAAGGAATTTGGTGATGAACAAGGGAAGATAGGCTACCAGCGAAACCAAAGCAACGCAAACAAGCTGACGTAAACTCTTTAACTAAGATATGACTGCCGATGTCCAGTGTATTTTTCATTTAAAAACGCAAGCAACTATGAAAGTATTCTGGTGTTATGTGTTGGCCGTAAGCATCCTGGGAGCTGTCGGTGCCGAGTGGAATACGAATGACTATATGAAACGAGAACATTCTTTGGTCAGACCATACCAAGGTACTTGGTTTTTGTTAATTGACTTTGTCTCAATATGAAAATTAAGTTCTACTGCATTCACGAGGATGGATTGTTTATCGTTACACTTTGCATTTTGGTTATTCATTTTATATGAACTTCGTGCGTTCTATCATAAAGTTTTAAGGTTATGACGCGACATATTTGCATTGGTTCTCCTATCTTGAAATTCTTTGAACCTATACTAATTCCTATTTATCTCATCTAGACTGATTCAGTGACTTTTAGTCTGATCAAATAAGTTTTTCAAAAATAAGAACCCTGAAACTTTATGCTAGTAACTTTAAATAGACTGTGAATATTTGTCTCATACCAATGTAGTATGTAAATTATTTCATAGGCAATTCGCATTACCTTGCAATAATATATAATCGGCCCACGACTCCGGTATGCTTTTTTGAATAATGATCTGTTGTTGTATTTATTCGGTAAATAGATCTGTGCTAATTAATAAAAATTAGATTAAATAATAGTGCTCATAATAATAATTAACAATATGGATAGTTAATGTGATAATTTCACTGTTATCTAAAAAAGTCAGTGTGCTATAATTTACTTGAAAATAAGAAAAATTATCACTACCAATATTTAACTCTTAAATAGGTTCTGGAATGACAATACCGCATTGGGATTTTATGGGCAGCACAGTGGTTACAAATAACTATATAAGACTTACTCCTGACCTGCAAAGTAAGCAGGGTGCTCTGTGGAATTCAGTGGTAAGGATATTTCCTGTAGTCGATACTTAGCATCGTAGGAAAATTACTATTAAAACATAAATATTCACTGAGAGAATTATCCATGTGGTCGATATTGCATATTTTTTTTACAGCCATGCAATGTGAGAAATTGGGAATTGCAAGTGCATTTTAAAGTGCATGGTAAAGGTCGTGAATTATTTGGAGATGGCTTTGCAATTTGGTATGCCAAAGATAGAATGCAGACTGGCCCTGTATTTGGAAACAAAGACTATTTTCAAGGTCTTGCCATAATCCTGGACACATACAGCAATCATAATGGTCCACATAATGTACGTATGATATCTGTATTCACAATATTGGAGGATCTGTTTGTGAAATGTAGTATAGAACATCTTTGTCGAATTATTACATTTAATTTCGCTGCCTACACACCTAATAATCTGTATGCCATCTATTTCACCAGAGAGGATATGTTATTGTTTAGGGGTCATATGTTCGTCATAAAAGAGAAATCTGTAACTTTAACAAACCATAATTTCTTGAATTTTCATAAAAGTCAATCGACATCAATTAACTTGTACGAATAAATTAAAAACATTATAGGCACCATTTCAGAAACGAGAAATGGTATTTGATATAGGCGGGTATATTAGAATCTCAAATGAAGTGAGTTTTGCATAGTGAAATCCAAGTAAATTAAAAAGATGAGAAAATGAGAAAATCGTCAAAGTGTATAGACGTGCGTAAGCACGACAAACGCACGGCCAAGTAAAAGGAAGAAATAGTAATTCAACTGATAGCATCTGCATTCGCGTGAGACACATGTAGCAGGAGAATATGCACAAAGGCCATTGAAAACACAGTACAGCAGCACTGGCATTCATTACGTATTCTGCTCTTTCATTAATTATAAATACTAAAAATAAAATGTTGATACCTTTACAGCATCAACATCCATACATTTCGGCAATGGTTAACAATGGCACTCTCCACTACGATCATGATCGTGATGGAACTCATACGCAACTTGATGGTTGTGAAGCAAAGTTCCGAAACTTCGAACACGACACCCACATTGCTATACGATACGAAAGAGATACCTTAACAGGTCAGTCAAAGTCACTCTACATGGACAACCATCCTAGTTTTCTCATCAAGATAGAATTGCACTCACTCTGTTTTTGGTATACGATGCTTTGGTGGGTGGGGCTTTTGGGTTTTTTCAGTACACTGTGGTTTTATGCGGTGTTGTGTGTAAACATTACTATTACAGTAAGGTCTTACCCGGAGGCCTCGTGGTTCTCATTCTGGAGTGCCTCCACATCATTCGGTGGTATCTTTTCCTCTTCGTCTCATTACTCCTTCCCGCTGACCCCCCTTTCATTCTGAATTCAATAAATTTCTTCTAACGATCTTGTCCGTTCAAGCTGTCTATGGTCTGACGTAAAGTCCTCTTCAAGTAGTCCTACGAATGAAAGAGGATAAGCGGATTTCATCGATTTATTAACGCATGTCCACGGGATAGCAGTTAGTAAGCCTGAACTAGATATTAGTAGGACACAAAGAATGGCTTTATACAAGATTTATAAAATTGCTCTATCAAAATACAGTATCAACTGATATCGCAAACAAGGCTGCGTGGAAGGAATGTCTCACCGTCAAGGGTATACAGCTTCCCACGGGATACTACTTTGGAATTACAGCGACGACTGGTGACCTTTCCGACAATCATGACATCATGTCGATTCGTCTCTTCGAGTTGGACTTGCCTGATGACGTACGTCTACATACTAGATTCCAATCTCATAAAGAATTCCAAGTGTCATTATAAATCATCACAAACAAATACCCCTTAACTCAATTACAGCCAAAAGACGACGAAGATCGATCCAATATTTTGCCATCTGCAGCGTTCTTTGAATCTCCAAGAGGTTAGTTAAATATTTAATTGAAAAAAGTACATTATTTAATGTAATGTGCCCTAAGTTTGCACTATTCGGTTCGTACGTGTATATGTATTCTCGTAATTTTAGATCACGTAGACGATCCAAAACCTTCGTCGTTAAGCGGCGTCAAGATTTTCCTCCTGATGCTCGTCGGTGCACTCGCCCTGATCGCATGCGTGGTTATAGGCATAATGTTCTATCAGAAACATCAAGAAAACAGTCGAAAGCGCTTGTACTAAAGATCCTTTGAAGTGCCGAAATGTAAGCAAACACTGAGCTACGTTCGAAGTCATTCCTTTCCTCGGAATTTCTCATCTACCAAATGATCCACGATCAGCGAACGACGAATATAAACATTTAGAAAAAATTTTTTCATTTTCCATTTTTTGCGAGTGAAAATTCGGTGTACAGGAAGTATTGGTGACGTCAACACACAGTACCGAAACAACTTCACAGGTAACGATTATGAACTGAAAGGATTAAGTAGTCACTGCGAGTAATAAATTTTAACAGTTGCCATTTTCCGTAAGTTTCCAATGGCACGAGGATTCTAACTCTTTATCAAAGTAAATTATCGATATGCGCCTTGTTTTACAGTAAAGGGATTATGAATTGACGGACAACCAAATTTAAAGCGGCAGTATAATTTTCAAAGTTTAGCGGAATTTAAAATGTTTTTTCCTTACAAATCGTCTGTCAACTTGTATGAAGGAAAAAGGATACGTTAGACAGCAATTAAATGCTCTTTCCTACCTCAAGTAATACTGCCAGGTCAAAACTTGTATGCGCATGAACTTGTTTCATCGCACGTCGTGGTTCGTGTATATTTTACATTAATTATGAATAACGAAACGCAGCGAGTGTTCCGTTGAGGCGCGATGCCATTGTCGTGTCTGTAAGTATCAGTGACACGACACAAGTAAAGTCAGGTGAATACGTATGTACTATGTGTCTAAGTATCTAGTGATTTAAGATAATTAGCCCAATCGGGGCGAAAGGGTGTTTGACAAGGATGGTAGCGATGTAAATTTTATACTCTTTTAGTAAATCAATCGAATAACTTCAAGCAATTCGATTGACTTGGAAGAGGACGCTTCCTATTTTCATTTTTACCATTATTGTACCAACACGCAACTGTATTTTGTCTTTTCTTACGCCATCACAATACAGAATGCTTTAGTTAGCACCGGCTGTCATAGTAAAATAATATCAACAACAGCTAAAAATGTTACAACCTATAATTCGATCAATTTTGTAGATTTGATGGATATCAATAAATTTTCTTTTTAATTTTGCTCTTTTCAAAATTAATATAGTTACGTGTATACATGTAAATGTATTGTAAAACATTCGTGAGATACTGTAAGAAATTATTATTTGTAAAAACATTAACCTCGAGCTATATTTAAAATGCTAGAATTGATCTGTCATTATGCTGCTACCCAGGGCAGCAAAAGTGTAAAAGCATTACACATCGCAAACTACGGAGTTTCCGCCTAAGTGAAATAATAATAATAATAATAATAATAATACGCTATCGGGGCGTTTTCGTGTTTGGTTATTGTGAGCGAACGGTTTAGATAAAGCGGAAGAGACGTAATAATTATAAATTTTATATTTGTACATAAATAAAACATCACTATTGTTGATATTAGGTAATCATAAAATAGCATCGTATTGTGGAATTGTTCTTTTTTTTTTTATTGAAAAACAGGAAGAAATATTCGAGAAAGGAATAGTCGAAACAGCGAGTAAAAGGGAAAAACGAGATAACAAGAACATGGCATCACTTTTGTTTTAAGAATTTATTTACTAAGAACCGTTGCCAAATATGAATAAATACATATTCAACAAACGTATTTATCATTTTACACCGACACGAAAGAGAGTACAGATTTCCTCGTCGCCGTGTGAAAGTTCAGCGTAACCAATCAATCAATTAACAACATTATTCGTTTTTAAAGAAATCATTTAATATATCTTTTACAATTAAACTCCTAATAAGACAAGAATTGGCACACTTTTTGAAAGTACTAGGTTACGTTATACATACATCTAACGTGATAGAAATTTCTTTCATCTTCAAAAAAAGGGGAAAAAATCTCTATATTTAACGCAAGTAACGAAGCTATCAGGGAAACTAAATACATCAAGGCACATCTACCTCCCATTCAATTCCCTTTCTACATTTTGGTCGCTATTGTCCTCTCGTGAGACGATAGATACTAAATGCAATCTCCGTCACATCCGCAATTACATCAGGACTAAACTTTTAACATTAATAATCAATAAATGTAGCACAACTTCGTAAAGTCCTTATATATTTGCAGTGTCTTTTTAATATTCTAACAGATATCGCATTAGAATGGTCTTGGAATTACAGGAATATCGAGTGTTTCGAGGAGACTTTTTTTAATATCTGGAAAGGAATGAGAAACGATACTAATTTGATCCGTCTTTTTCTCTTTTTTACTGGCAGTAACGAGGATAGTGGGCTCACCGGGCTGTTTTTAACTGATTTAAACATCGCGAAAAGTCCACTAATAAGAATAAGGTGTTCACACTGAACGATGTTAAATAAAAGTAAATAATTTTCATCATTTTTATTTACGATTAACAGAATAGAAAAATATGCGGCTTATTTTTTCGACTGATAATAGCCTTTAGGAAAATACATCAATCCTAAAATATACCGATACTCTGGAAAATACTCGGATATAAATTTTTAATGAAATCTAAATCTAAGATGCCTGAGTTTACGGTAACATAAAAAACATTCTAGGCTATATATGTATGTATATACCTATATATACAACACATATGAAGAGAGAATAATTATCTTCTATTCAATTACACGATCGTGCAGTACGCTTACGAATGCTGTTGTATTCCAGATAGACTCACTTGGGGCTGCAGCACCATTCTCTGAGAATTCAATTTCAAATCGTGAACGTATCGCACACCGTTTACTGCTAGTCTCGTCATGGTCATACTCGGTAGAAACAAACTGTTCAAGGATTCCATCGTACACTTTGCAGTTTTATTCCCGATAAGACTAAGTGCTTCTTTAAAATAAAAACCCTACAAACTTTATATACAACGCATGGAACTATAAATCTTTGAAATACGCAAACAGGTGTCTTAATTTTTAACAGAGAGAATATCCTCAACGTGTACAATCACTGACATCCAATGGAAGTGATGACTGCGCTTTCACCGAAATGCATCTTGGACTACGTGTACCAATATATGCATTAAAGTATTGCTGCTTTGTCGCGAAGAGATTTTAAAACTAATCAATTTGATTACGAAACAAACGAGCCGAACTGTTGTTCGTTGCGCGCCATATAAAAGGAAGTATTTGATTCTCATTATCAGAATCTCTATATTTACTTGAAGATGACTAATGGATTCAAAAGGAAATTCAAGACAGTCTTTACACCGAGATAAACGTCCCTTGCGAGTGAATCAAAGCTGATCTCGTACTTCCTCCGTTTGTAGGACTGCAAATCAATAGTATGACAAGCTAAACAACCTACTTCCTCCAGGTCAATGTGCGGCTCCATCCCGCCAAGGAGAGATTCAATTTCATAGCCGGAATTCCCAAGGGAGCCCGCGAACCAAATTTTGTCACCAGGATAGATGTTTAGACTGAAATTCGTAAAGGAGTGATCTCCAAGGAGAACCACCTCCGCGTTGCTACCCCACAAACTGGACTTCATCTTAACCGAGATTTCAAATTCATATTGGTTCCAGGAGGACAAATCGCACTTATGCTTTTTACGCTTAATTTCATGTATAGTCCTGCAGACTCTTTGGCGCATCTCGTCACCCGCGGAACAATCCTCCTGATAGGGTTTCCCATACATGCAAGTCAATGGTATCCTTATACTGTCAGGTAATTTACCCAATATGGATCCCAGACTATTTTTTACGGACTTCAATCGAATATTCGTCACGTATCCTTCCCAAGATATTGGAATTCCATCCAAACGTGCACACTCAACTTGCACTTGCGCTTTCGAGGATGATTCCTCCCAGGCTGGTTGATGGCAATGATTTTGGTACTGTTCCCAAGACAGGCTGGGCACAGCTTCACAGGAACTGGTATCGACCTCTCGTTTATACTCCAAAATCATTGGCCAGGATAGAAATACACCGGCAGCAACCCCGGAAACAAGCTGAAATGTTTGTATTTTAACTAATTTTGTTACTTTTAGAAACATGACAGTTTGATTGATCCGAACTCTTAAGTACCTGAATAAGTGTGATGATCCAATTGAATTTCCGTGCTTTTGTCTTCCTCAAATACCAAGAAGCCAAGAAGGGTATTCCACCTAGTAACGCGGTGACTGCTATCCTCATGACCATATCACTTTCCGGTAGATATTTGGCTGCCGCTACTATTGGTAAGACAACCGAGGCCAAACCAGCAATGGGCAGGAAAAACACCATTCCCACGAGAGCCAGTGCTCCTCTGATCAAGCCATACCAGGTAGCACCCTGCGAGCTGAGTATAGCTATTTGCCACCAACTCAAAGTGACACAGTGAGGTATCAGAGTTTTGTATGTTCCACGCCAACCATCTCGTGCTGCCATTTTTGCAAATACCGCAGGTATCAGTAGATAGAATACGGCTCGAAAATTCAGACAGAATTCGATACCGTTGCCCACGACGTAAGAGGCAAATGTTGGTACTCTTATATCCAGAAATCTCCAACCTTGGATTACGACCATGTCAGTCTCATAGGGATACTTTGCAAGAACGTGAACTCCGAAACTAAAGAGCGCCAGGAAGTCCGGAAACTGCGAGGCATCTTTCCACATGAAATTTAATAAAGTCACTAGCGTCAACGTGACGGCTATAACAGTGAACTCGGACTGCGGTGTCCACTGATGCGCTATCAGAGGATAAAGCATGAGATTGACGAAAAGCGCTAGAAAAAAGTGACCATACGGCTTAAGATTGTTACAGCAAAATTGATACTCCGCCTCGTCAGGATTTAAATTTCCACCAGAATAACTGAGGAATAAACCGGACCAGACGCGAAAGTCTGAGAGTTCACGTTTGCGCTGTAACATCTGGAAAGTAGCGATGACCATCACGACGAATGACAGATAGTACAAAGCCATAGGAACGAACAGTACTAGACTTTCGGTGCCGAACAAGCAATAAAGCAAAAGAAGTAGCAATGTCTGAACGTTTGAGAAAAATAATTTCTTGAATATCGGGGAGCCGCGACGGCCTATCGTTTCCACTAGCCAGGTGTAAAGACGCTTCAAGGATGTTAAAGGGTGAACGAAAGGCCTTTGTAACAGAGGAATCGTATCCAGGGCCATTTGAGATGGATCTACCATACAGAGAGCATTAGAAACTATAGGAAGCAATCCGCGAGCATAACTGGCAGCTGCTGACACCAATACCGCCTCAGTTATTTTTTCTCCTTGATGTTCCAGCCAGTCTATTATCAAAGAAAATGATAATTCAGTATGAAAATTAAAAATCCATTGAAAATCAGTTGTAGAACATCTTCAGAGGCGACTCTTGATCGCCTTACCTGGCGGACTGTCTTCAATTCTTCCACCGTCTTTGAGAGATGCGATATGTTCGGAGAGACCATCGTCTGAGAATCCTTCTCGGTAGGTATCGCCGAGTGATTTCTGAGAGCTCTTTTGTGAGGATCTGTTTGAACTGGAATAGTTTGATCTACTCGTCGAAGGGAAACTCAGGTCCCTCATGCGTCTCTGAAGCTGTTCCGTCGTTATGAAGTCTTCACCATTTGATAAGCTATCGATGACAGTTTATTATCGTTTTCCTATCAATTTTATTCTTAGCGCAGAAATTAATTGCACAATCAAGTGACATAAATATTTACATTTCCAACTCACCTCGTAAAGACTTCGCGTGCTGCTCGCCTAGCCAACTTCTCATCCTGCGACATGTCTAGACAACTTTTCACATCGTAATAGTTATGTTCGGTGATTCCTCGGCCGGATGCAAGGCATTTTCTCAGGATATCAGTCGCTTCAAGGTTACCCTGCTCCGAGGCTTTTGTTAACCAATAAACGCCAAGCTTGGCATTTTCTTCTTTGTCCACATCAAGTTCTTCGTATTATGGAAAAATAATAAAAATGCCTCTCTTGAACACATCAGAGAATCGAACAATATTCACATTCCCTCATCATTTTAATTACAACTAAGAATAATGTGGGTGCTATTGCGTTTAGAAATTTTATGCTGATGCCATTCAACGATTATGTACTGATAAGAAAGATTTTTAAATATAATGGTCCATTGCAACCTCTGCATCCCATATAAGTGCTATCCCCATATTACTGGCATGCTAGTTGGGTAGCAAGCGATTTAGAAAGTTCACAATCCCAACCTATTCTGTCCTGTCTGTCTATAGAGTGTGAGAAACAGACTGCATATCCAATACAAGAATTTTGTCCGAGCAACTATTGATACAATTGTTGCAAGGACCCAACTATGTAATCTTTTTTGCATCATAACCTTCCTTGAAGTTCAATTATACTTAAAAATTGAATTATATCCATTGCTAGAAAATTATAAAATTCTATTTTATCTCAGAACATACCACATCTTTCTTCCAAAAGATGTTTCCCCAAAACAACCTGAGACTCCGGACAACCATCTTCAGCCAATTGAGACCGCAAGCGCCTGAGAGAACCTCTTGGTCCATCTGTAAAACAAAAATTAATGTCAATTTTTTTCTGTTCACTATTCCTCATTGATATGTAATAAGAACAGCAATAGCTAAAACTATTACGAACTAAAGAAACTCATGAAAAATTTATAGCAAATGTCCAGTTCACATTTTCTCTTTTAGCTTTCGTATAAAAAGTATGGGCATTAAAAAGTATACTTTACTAGAGTATTCTTGGTACAAAGCGATTATTATGAATATAGTTATATACAACAGCATACTGGTTTCAAAACTGATTGTGAGAAACAAAACAAATTATCGATAAGATCAACATTAAATACTTATCAATAATATGCATTAAGAGGGTATACATTTTTTAAAAACTACAATTATTTATATAATATTATAGAGAATTGAAGCATTTTCTGGTAGTATTGTTTGGAGAATAAAACACTAGAAGTACAACGCATAATAGCACATAACCTCAAACTGGTTTTACTGAATACTAGTCATGAGAATAGATTTTATATAAAAAATAAAATCAATAAGGTATCAATAAAACTGTGATTAGTACATAGACATCGCAACGATTGTACACTTAAAGATTCTGTAGCACATCCTCTAACAGTAAACATGTCAATATAATCGTGATGGTCGGTTCAAGTGACAGCTGTCAAAAATTACCATAGTATCATAAACTACACCCGTATCCTAGGATACGTTAAAGCCAACGAAGTGAAAATCTACATTCATAATAGATGGACGAAGATAACGTCTCACAAGCATTATTGTATCATAAGAATGTGATCAAAGAGGACTTGTCACGTGATTGTCAAATTAAGCCAATGTAATGTTGTCAGGTATCGATTAGGTTATTTCCGTACGCAAGCAAGGAACACGACGCAAAAACAGTGATATTGATTCGACAATCAAAACGTACCGTGCAACGTCCACTGTCTTCTACCAGACCTCCCGGACAAGGGTACAACACCGGCCATGTCTTATAGACGCTCGAGAGAGTTGAAAAAAATCCAAGAGCGCCACACGTGTACCTTACCTTACATCGAGACCGCTAGCGAGCGACTGCTCAATTTTTGGAACAGACTGAGTGAAAGACATGTGCGCATGCGTGAGTTTCATAAGAGAGTAAACAGTACTTTGAAAAAGAAAAAAACAATCACGAATACCAATCACTAATAAATTGATGAAGATCATATCATCTTCACATTGAAAAGAACGTGATGCTCTGTGAATAAACTTGCAAAAAAATGTAAGACAGCTGCACCATTTGACTAAATATACTCATTAAATGATAACAAGGGAGCCGGAATTAGAGGAACTTTATATTCTGGAGTTGTTTATTTCATCATATTTGATCAATGGATTACATATTTATCGAGTATATAAATGCTAAAAGAAATATAATAAATTAAAGGCGCACTCATATTCAACTTGCCGAGTGACGTGATAATGTGCATCACTACTTGCAATAAGTAATCTGTAATCAGCAGTTGCTGAATTTGTTGGAGCCAGTTTTTTTGATTTTGCCTTTCTCTCAGTCGCATTATACATATGTAATTCGATCCGACGTTTCCATTCGAAACCGAAGGAATCTAGCAAAACCATGTTTTCGCTGGCTCCTCGTGTAGTCAGAAATCCGCCCGCACTCCAGTCCTTTGGCAAAAAAATTCTCATCGACTCTAATGAATCAATGAAAAATTCACACATAAAAAATCTCACACATGCAAAACTTACGTGTTAATCGATCCCATATATGGTGGCGGATTCGGTCGGATGTACGGGTTACAGCGTTCGCCAGACATTCTAAAGATAAACTCAATATATTTTTATAGATAATCCCATTGGTTCTAAAGGTGGAAATATGAGACCCATGCGTTTCTCTTTCACTCAAGTATCGGCAAACGTTTTAAGATGATTAGTACATATGGGAGAAAGGATCCCAAACGCGTTTCACTCCTCGAGAGAGTGGTGGTATATAATTATTGAGAGGTCCGAATAAGCGGGTTTCTTTCAGAATTCTGTTCCCACTAGAGGAACAGCTTTGTTTCTGGCCGGACAGAGCGGTTACGTATGCATAAATCACGATTATCTCAGGCACGGGATCTTTCGACATTCCACAGCGAGATCATTTTCAAAGGCCCTTCGCAGGGGCGTCACAACTAGCCAAGTGTTTCCTTTTGAGATTACCCTCGCACACCTATTTTCGGACGGAGTAAAAATGTATCTACCTCGGACTGCGGGACAACGAATCACTTGGACTTGACGGCTGGGCCGACAGTGACCTCAAAGTTCCCCTTTCCGAAGACGCATTCTGCACCATTTGCACACCATTGTTACTTAATCCTTCGACGGGCGTGGAGTCTCGCGTTTCCCTGAAAATTATTTGACCTTGTTAAATTTACTAAACAAAAAAAAAAGAAAAGAAATGCAGGTAAAGCAAAAGTGCAGGTACAATATTGGCTTATAAAGCAGCAAATTATTGAAACAATACGTACCGTGGAAACATGCAGAACCGAAGATTATAAAAACGGCACAAAATGCATGGATATAAAAAATAAAAAGGTTAAACTAAACACACGAAAGTAGTGCACGAAAAAGCCATGGAAACTGGTGGACTGGAATTTCGAACGCAATCATGCTCTCCAGATTAGCCTGAAAGAATATTAAAATAGCAATTTTGTTATCCCGTTCGATTATTATTATATTCTACGGATGTTTATTGTGCTAAACTGGACACGCCGAGAATTCAAAATACAATTTCCTCGATGTTTGCATTTCGTAAACCTAAATCGTAAAAATCTTTTCTTAGCTCTCCGTCTGAAAACAATAACCACTCGGTTTACATTCGACGAAAATAAATATCGATCTCTGCTTACAATACCAGGGAGGGAGACCACGTTGTAACGTTTTTCCCTATTACTCTCAAGATTCTGATTCCTCGTCGTTCAGGAGTTTGCCCCCCGTTGATAAAGGCCGATAGGGGAAAATACGAGTGACACTTTGCACTATTAGTTGTTAGTCTGCGAATTCGTAAAACATTAGTAACACAAAGCTATGGAAACCTAGAAATTTCAAAAAGTCCAAGAAGAAACTTTCGTGCTCTTTAGAAACAATATATCGTAGCGCCAAAGCGTCGCGAAGACCTTTTTTTTACCTTGCCACCTCCTTCATCTCGAGGAAGGTGTTAAATAATTCGTGGAAATAAATCTCGGACTCCCGGTCAATTCTATAAAAGAAAAAAAGCTTCAAGAGGACATGGTCAAGGATACTCTCCAATTTGAGTGGATCCTCCGTGCAGCAGCCACCGACACTCAATGTCCAATTTGATGGTCTCAATTTCATGGTTGGTATTTATAAGGGTATTTATGCAATACCCTTCCAACATACGAAGTGGTATCGCAGGGACGATGACGTTCAGCCTCGACCAGTGCACGCGCGTTAATGAGAGACTATCGTTGAGCTACATAAAAGCTAGTACAAGAAGTTCAATTTTCTTCGGATAAAACTTGTTTTACGCGTGCCCTATGTTTTACGAAAGGAGGCATGACTGCGAAATTTGCTTCTACGTAAGGTTTACAAGGAAACGTGTCCGAAAACGGTGACGGATAAGAGCGTAATGACAAGATCAACGTCAGCGCTATGCCACCTATATCACAATGGACGACAGTGGTCGAAACCACAAAGCGCAGAATGACTGATTAGAATTCCAGTGATGAAAATGTTTTCGTTCGACTTCGCACTTTTATTAATAGGTAGGTTACGTAATCGACTACGATGGTGCTGCGTCATGAAAATGCACTGGTCTCGAGTAGCGCACGTCATCCCGGACAAGCGGCTCACACTGCCCGCGGTCAGTTGCCCGCCTCTTATTACGTCCTTACGTTCTACGCGTGAGCGTCTCAAGTTCTTTTCACGTAGACGTAGACGCGTTCGACCTCATCGCTACAATCTGTCTGGTCGGACGGAGGAACTCTTTAGAAACTAGGCTCGAACGATGAGCGATAATCATGGAGAAATGAATTTTCTTTAAGACGAATACTTAACCTTTTTCTTCTTAAAATTTAAACCCAAGCTATCGTCCTTGTCAGAATCTGAATGCTCGCGCCGCCTGAGATATTTAAAACTACGGCAACAGCGAATTCGACTAGCTGCACGTTTCTCGAGGAACCCGGCTAAAAATGCGGCAGCATTACGTTTCATGTTAAAATCGGTACACGTTACACGACTCGACTAGATATCGAATCGTTTATGAATGAAAGTCAGCTCAATCGCACGAGCCCCCTCTTTCTCAATAACTCTCGACGACGTCTTGCCATTGATGAATTTTAAACATCAAGCACGTGCTTCTTGACACACGCGTAGTACTTTTTCGGAAATCCCTGTATACTGTCCTTTTATTTCTAGCGCCAAAGTACAAGATGAGCTTGCGTATTCGTAACGCATGTGAATTTTACGAGTCAACAAGGCTCTCAGCAATCGTGTTACTGATCTAAAAGTGCGTAACGTGGAATGATAAGTGAGTCAAATTCTCTTTTCTGCGAGACGAACACCAAAGAGCGCGTAAATAAATAATCTCTCGACGAGGAGGAACCGTAAGTAGCAGTTTACGTGAATTCCTTGGGTAACTTACAATTTTTCGTGGTGCAAGCAGAAAGCGGTGCTGAGTAGAGTGATGAAAATCAAGAGAAGAGTAGCAGGTAAGAAGACTGCAGTGGCCATTTCTTTCAAGTAACTTCGAACGGGTGTCCCGGCCTTCGTAGGTCTTGCCCATCTCCATTCCGCATGACCAGAGAAACCAGATGACGAAAGTCCTACGACGTTCACGTTCGGTCCCCTTCTAGCACTTTCCTGTTGCAGACTGTGATTCTCCTCGATCTTTGGTGCCAACAAATTATTGTCCCACATTGGATGCTTGTGTTGAAATAAAGAATTTCTCTAATGGAAGATAAAATACTAACCAATCTAAAGGAGCACCAGTCCAAAACAAATCCCGCAACTCTGAAGTGTCTTTCGACGATTGTTCTTTTAAAATCCCTAGGGCAAGAGGACATCTTCCATAATGGTTTCACTTGCTCCTGCAGTTCATTCAACTCGTGTGAAAACTGTGCGGAACTACCCAGTCGAAGTACGACCCTTAAAGAAAAAAAATTAACGAAATTAAATAGTCCTGACACTTCTTGATCGTCGCGCGACAGCTCTCACGTAGACACTGATGTTTGTCCGGTTATACCTGTGATCAATTCAGTTCACATCAGGGATTAAAGAAAAATCAATTTCACGAGTTGCGTGCAAGTGCCACAGAATTATTAACACATAAAACGGCGCCTATGAGTCATGAGAATGTCAAATTGCTCACAATGTAAAACGGCTAAAAGTCAAATTGGACCTCGTTTTTCGATAGAACTAGATTTATTAACATGTATAGACGGCGCATTCGTTTCCCGCTCACGTCGATGCCTGCGTCATACGTTCAAAATTGTACAAGCCAGCTTTTCATACTTTGTATTCTTTCAAGTATCACTCGAGTACTTGGAAGTTTTCCATAATCGAAAAGAAACGGTTATTCCTGATATCTCAGTGATCTTCCGGTCCAATGAATCGTCCTCAATAACATTTCGATTGCGCCATAATTTGAAATATTTGTAATCCTTAAAGAAATTCCAAGAGTCAAAGTGCCAAGACGTGTTATAGCTAAAATCGGTTGTACGTGATAAAAGTAAAAAATCATCAGTGGTAAAGAATTATGAAGGTTCCTGAAAATGACGCACGGACTCTCCCACGGGTTTAAGTCGCGGTTACGACGCCTCGATATAGCGGGAGCAAGATTTTTTTGGATTTCAAGGATAAAGAGTAACTCAACCTGCCGTGAATAATATTGTACCATACGAATAACGAATATTTCCATTCAACAATTTATGCTATCATGAATATCGCTATGCACGGCTAACTCAGCTCATTTCAAGGATTCTTCGTAAATCTTTGGCACGACCATAGTTCTCTCTTTATGTGTGGAAGAAAGAGAAGCTAGACGCTGGAACTCAAAGTGCCGTCAATGTGGGACGTCCTGACCGCGTCCTTATCGTGCGTGGAACAAGGGGAAACTATTCAGATAAGGAAACCGTCACGATTGTGTTAGCATAGGACGCTGTCACATTTAACAGCGTTACGCTGCTTTGACTTAGTACGTGCTGTCACTTCTTAGGTGGACTGAGGTGTACGAACGTAGAAGATTGTGAATTCGAGTAGATACGTATTCGCAAAGTGACAAGCAAATCACAGTGATCAAGAAAGTTACAATACATCAGCACCGTGTGGATTCGTCTACACATCCGTTTGAGAAGGAGCCCGAAGAATTTAAGTGAGTTTTTATGCGAAGATGAATTTTCTTTACTATACCCAAGCTGAATGATTTGAAATTCTTAACCCTGCGAGCATCAAGTATTTTTTTTACACCACAAACAAAAACTAATGAGATTTCCTGAGGATTCCGCTTGGTATCCAAATGATTAAAAATTGAACAGTCAGTACGTTGTATCAAGCGCCAATGACTTTGCCTCATTCATATTGCAGACGTCAATAGTAGAGCCAACATCCGCGAATCAAGAAATCCAGTTGAACATAACGTAATACCTTGTAGATTGAGCGGTTAGTCTTTATATATGAATTTGTATCGTCCACACTCTCTCTACGGAAGAAAGACTTTTCCTTATGCTTGACAACAAGAATAAGAGTGAGATAACATCATCAGTGATTCAATATCGATGCACGCGGGATGATTGCATCTGCAAGAAGAGAATTATGTCCAATACCAGAGGATATTCCGTTATTGCGAGAAATAGCGAAGTAGCAGACAGTAAAGCTACGTTTAAAGATGATTGAGACCTTACACTTATGCGCGTACAAATGTGTATGAATTGAGGGAAATAATTGATAGCGTTTGATAGAAAATAAAAAATCGAAAGGAGAGAAAAGAGGCGAGAAGCTGGTGCGCTCGCATCACTAAAAATAGGATTTCACTCCAGTGATGTGATTACAAGATTCGTGCAGATCCTGATGAGAGATACTTTGACGCAATGATTTAATTAATTATTTTCACGTCAATTGAAAGCCCCTGTGCAACTCTCTTTGCCTCATCTCCTCATCCGAAGATGAGCAATTATCACTACATGTAAAATAGAGAACAAGACTGACAACATTGTACAGAGTACGCCAGTTGACATGATGCATTCATTCGATTTTATTGCGCTTATCGGCTTATCCATGAATGTCAAAAACTTGATACGTATCGATCTTTTCTTGTTTGTATTATATATTAGAAGCGCTACTGTATATGCTTACATCTGTTTCTCATAATCACCGATGGTATAGTTGATAGATGCTGACAATAAATTACAGGAAATCGAAATGATTACGGAATTCAACAAAACAGGAGTTCCCTGATAATTAGGTAGAATAGAGCAATTATACTTGATAAAAATGTATAGGAAATGCGTCACACTGTTGTTTTCCGTTGGTCGAATGATAAGTACGTCAAAGATAACTGAGAAATCGCTGAACCTCGTAATAATCATACCATGCATTATTTTTAACAATCATCTTTAGTACTTAGCCTACGACGTTTCCTACTATAAGATAATACGTTAAAGATGCATAGTTAACGATAAATGTTACCGCTTAATGGGGAATCTTTTTGGTTAATACCTTAACAAAATTTATGAAAATTTCATGAGACTTACCCTTCCCCCTCTCCAGGTCTAAGAGGAAGCCGCGCCCCAAGCTCCACTGCTGATGCTAGAAATGTCACGTATAGATCTGTGGCCTCTGTCCAAAGTTTATTCCTATTATTGATAAAAATTGTAACACTTTTAGTTGAGATCATTTTGACATTAACAAGTATTACCATACATTTCAATTGTACCTGAAAACATTCAACAATTTTTCTGTTTTGTTGTAATCCAACATATCCTCCACATTGAGATTATCAATTTTTAATTGAATCTCATATTTTGTTAGGTTTTCTTTCTCGTGAACACTTATATTCAAAATCTTGTATCTGGTCTCATAGGTATGCTTATTGAGACCCACAATTTCAAGCTGAAGTTACATTAAAATTAGTATAAGATCCATACTATAATATATCTTGTTTCCAAATTTATAATTTACCTGAAAATCTTCCTGATCTTGAGGCGCTACACCATATAAAAAGCCATGATGATCTTTTTTACTATAAATATAATGAATCCATGAAGGCAGATCGGGTGCACTCAACAGGGATGGTTGATATAAAAACTGATCATGTCTACCTGAAACAGAATCGCACTTGTTCTAATCAAAATTGTGATATGATCGTTGCAGAATGAATCAAATATAATACACAATCACATTGTTATTCAAGATGCATGACCAATGTCATACAGAAGAATACTTTCAAAGAATAATTTCAAATCGTGAAACAGCTGATGGGTTACTGTGACATATTTTGTTTTACCATCTATGCTCCAGTCGAAAGTGTCTGGCTTGATGGGAATGATAAACACCTTGGACATTAGGATGCTCTCAGCACCCACGAAGGCTGCCAAAGCTAACAATACCATGAGGCTGGAATGCATATTGGACTCCCTTCCCTACAAGATGGGATAAAATAAACATTCAAAATGACCATCTCAATACTAAGATAACTATTTATAAGTGGTAAGTAGTATTATGAAGAAATTGTACATAATCTGCATCAAGTAGTGACGATTTAATAAATACAACAATCAATCAGTTTACAACGATGGTCAATAGATCAACAGACATAGACCCACTGCTTGGAACACAAAACATTAATTCTTGGGTTATCAATAAAGAAAGTCTTTTAATGATTAATATTAAATGACAAATAATGAATACAGCTGTACTATGATCACTCAGACTTGAACACATTTGATCTATTTCTCTTGCAAAAATGAAACCATCCGTGCAGACAACTCTTAACGCCAAAAATAGAAACCAGGATAATGGATCGATTATCCACAGCGGAGATGAATTTTAAATACCTTTTTCAATAGACAACGCTCTTCGCAAGTTGATAAAAGAAAATTATATAGATCAAAGCATAGTCGTGACACACGGTGAACGACAGAAGCCGATCTTATGGAGCTGATGAACTTACGGTAATGTCAGATTTAGCAGACGACAGAATCGGGTTGCAAGTCGAAGTAACATGAATAGACAAGAGAACGAAACTCAAACATTAGGATGAGTATATAGTTTCTTCGACATAATTCTTCGAAATAACGTAAGAAATTTTTCTCGGAATAAATATTGATAATGCGTCACGTCGAAGACTCAGATTTACAGTGATTCCTAGCTCTCAAATGATTTGGGCTGCACTACAGAGTATTGAATGAATACTGCGATTATTTTTTACGTTCAGGAAATTCTCAACTTGAGAAACGACCAGAAACGACCAAGTTCTCAGCTGAAACGAAGTATAAGCGCGCGCGTTTCGTCCTTCTCACGCGCAGCTGGTACACCGCTTCTGACATCCCATAATCAGGACCGTAGCGATATTAGGTACCAATTTATCTGGCTAATCTGGCAATTATTTGAAATCGACTTTGGTGGCATTTACAAAAAACCATTTAACTGTACTCTAAGAGTAATGAAACTATATGCATAAATCGTAAGTCGGACCATGGTTTTGAAGTCATGCGACCTATTTGGAGTACGTATCATAATTTTCGTGAAACGTAATCCGGTATTTAAGAGTTTTTTTCACGAGATATGACAAGCTCATCGCATCAAATTAAATTGCAAATAAAATTCACATAAATTGTTGAAATTCTTTGAATTGCTTTTACGTCTTTCAAGCCCAAGTGTCATTAAGATTTCCCCGAGTGCCGTTATTCAAGGAATTCCCTCCATGTAATGAGGTGCAAAATCGAGCCTCGTAGCTGCTCCATGTCAGATAATTTAAAAAAAAAAACCAGCAGGTCTACGTAAGTATGATTTAGTTGTAATTAGTGACAATGCCCCGCGGTTCCCGAATATGTATGATAACTACGGTACTGCCTATTGACGTCTGCAGTAGGCGTGGCTTCACTCTACCGATAGAGGGATATATTTACCACACAACTTTTCTCGTGCGCCAGCGACTTGCATTATTTGATTAATAATGTGTATTTGCAGTACGCGGTTAGATGCCAACGAGGAAGGGTACGCGACCGTCGCCAATTATCGGCACGGGGGTTGAAAACTGTCAAGTTCCTGTAGGAGTTAGGGGTTCGGTTCTTTCTCTTGGACCTAGTGTTACTACTGGCGCTTCGACCCTCGTACGCGGTGCAGTGCTGGTGGTGTAATAACGAGCCGTGCACCGGGGTGACACCGCACACTCACGATACCACTGTCGCGCTCCCGGGGCCAGGACGGCCGAACTCCAGGCGGCTCTTCTTCGAAGACTTCTCTTACGCACCGCCACCTCGTGATTCTTGCGAGTTACGCTAGAACATCGAAAAATGGCAGGCAACGTCCCGGTTCTCCTCATCACGGCGAACGTCGGCAGTATTTTCGAGGAGGTACAAATATTTCATTACCTTACTCCCAATTCATTTAGTAGCGGGATCCTTTTTATTTTTCAATTGTATATATTTCAATAAATGACAGGCTATTTAAACGCCTCATTGCATCCTTGAGATCAGAAGAATCATTGCAACATTCTCACAGTTTCAATGAAAATCCCCGTTTAATTTTTTGCTTTCTCTGCGAAATGAAATGACAACTTTTTATTTTTTTTCCCTCATTGATTCAATATTGATTGACTTCATTTGTTTCGTCAAGATTTTTGACGCGTCATGACAGAATCCCATTACAATAAGATGTATGGCAAAACAGAAAACATTTTTGTCGATATTCAGCAGCTAAGCGGTCCGTTACGTTTTAGTTATTGGAGAATTTTTCTACCTTGCACCTTGAATGAAAATACACTTGCAGCCATTGACTCCTTGCACGTAGTATTCATCTTCATAAAATCCAACGTAGTGACGAGGCTGTTGCCCTAATTAAAAGATGCCTCTTGCAAACTAATAAATTTGTAACTATGCTGGGAATTGAGAATTTGTCAGGAGATGTATACCGAAGGAATAAGAAATAATCGTTTGATTTTTTTGACACTGCTGATCGCGCTTAGAAATAGCTAATGATTTATTATAAATAGTAATTATTAAACGCCATAAGCGCCGATGCGTTTATACAATATTAGTTGCAGCTCCGTCTGAGGACAGGGCGTGCGTGCATAGTTGTTGCTGGAATTGGAAAAGTGGAGCGCAAATTAATGGCACTAATTCGTTTCTTTTTGCAGCCTAGTGTCATGCTGAAAATATGGACAGAGGAGTTTTTATCAGTGAGTATCAGTCCCTCCGTACATATATTGCACAACATGAGCGTATATGTCCCAGATTCACGTGGCGTTCTCTCTTTTTTATCACCTTCTTTTTCAGACAATATCACGACTGGATCCAAAATTTATAGCGCTTCACTGCCAGGAAGTCGGCGGAAAGAATTATGAGCAAAGTATGAGGCACGTCGAATATTTTGTTAGGTAAGCCTTCCTCATACATCTATTCAGCGTTTTTCATTTATATAATCGGTTTATCATAGATCTATATTAATAAAATATTTAAAAATGATACCATCCGTATGCGACGTTAGAAAATGAGATCGCGCTAAATCTGTATATACTTAACAACTGCGAATTGATCCATTGATCCTAATTGTCAATTTTTTAATAACTGGACTGAATTAAATTCTCATCTTTCATTTTGCAGCTCACTGAGCACCGACAATAATGATCTTGATCATTTTTCTTGTAAAATGTAGACTGTGCAATTTTATACGTGACTGATATTTTTATTTGTCAAGCTTCTTCTAGGGTTTCTGCTAATGGCCTTACTTGTCTACGCCCTAACTCAATTTGACACTAAGGAAACTGTCACGATTTTGGAAACCAATGAGAAACCGACAATATTCGCATTTTATCTTCTTCCCGAGTCTATGAGTCTCTTATCAATACAAAGGATATACAATACGTTGCGCTCGCTGGATGCAGCTAATATTACGTTATTCTCGTAATCAATGCTTACTATAGACTTTGATGCAATTAAACTCAATCTTACATCGCAATTGGTGAATATCCTGGCTGACACGGTTGTGCTTATTTTAAAACATTGAGGTGCATTTCCTGATTGAATCGTCAGGAACACACGTGCACATACTCTCGCTCTAACATTCCAAGGTGGATAATGAGTTCTCCGTTTCGCATTTCCTTGCTTAATAAATTTCAATTTTTGAGACATTGATGATTGAAGGAAATCATGGGGTTACGTCACGGCAACCAAGAATCCACAGCGCAGTCGAGGCAGTTAGCTCTTGGTCCTTGAAAAGCTCTTGCCATTAATACACAAATAATTTACGGTATCTTGATTAAACAATTCAGATACCAAGTCGCAAACGAATCCCAAGTGTTGACATGTATGAAATTTTTTTTTTTTATTCACACACGGAATATTGAAATTTATAGAAAGTCTCTCTCTATTTGTTAGCATTAAATTAATGCATATAACGATCCTTCGAAATTATGAAATCTGAAGAAAGTTGAGATGTTGCAAAGAGTTGCTTATCAATTTCGATAAAAGCCTTGAAGCAATATCTATGCGTCAGTTGTATTTAACTTATTACTACTTACGTTGAAAATCGAAGAACTGCTTCGCTCGATTCTCTTGGTATCTCTTCATTGAATAGCGTCCTGTAAATATAGTCACGATAAAGGTGGCAAACTCACTTCATACAGTGTCGCATGCAGGAATTAACGCACAAGTGGCAGAAAGGGGTAAAAATAGATAATAACGTGTTTCTTTATGGTCGACTACTCCGCTTCAAAGGGTTCGATATGCGATGCGAATGCATGCAAGGGAAAAAAGGTAAAAGGTTGTAAACAAAATAATTTATAACGAAAGGGATCAGCGAGATTAACGATTTCAGCGCATAAGTAGGCTAAACACTTTGCTCATCCATCCTTCGATCAGCTATGCATTGCTTCGTTTTTTCTTTTGTTTTTTTTTTGTTTTCCCTATCAGATTACTAATGTCTTCAGAAGAATTAAGGCTGTTCGACAAAGTCAGAGTCTTCCTAGATGAGGATTATTCATCAGCGGAGCACTTCACGGTAAGACATTCAAGCGTAACTCTTTCATTCTCTCTCCGTTTTCATTGACGAATTGTATGACAATTCACGATTTTTAATGAGACATTTTCGAGAGCCATATTATTGACGAGAATATTATTGTCATTGCAGGCACTTGGAAATTTTTATTTTGTACATGAATCTTTAAAAGACGTATTACTGTGGGATTTCAAAGGTACGTGTCATCTGAACACTAATGAGGAGTATAGTTCTTTTTTTTCTTGTTTGACAAAATTCCACTGGTTATTTCAGAATGTTCTTTCGTACCAGCCAATGGAAAGGAAGTGCACTCGGGCAACATAGAGGCAGTCACGACCAAGGAGAAGGCGAAATTCCCACAGGAATTCTTTCCAGAATGTAAATGGTCCAGGAAAGGATTTCTACGCACGCGATGGAACATTAGCGGAACTGTCGTTGATCTCATAAATATTCACTTGTTTCACGACGCTAGTAACTTCGTTGCAATGGAGACAGTAAGTAGAACCAAAGTTTTCACAATTCTTTTTCGATTAATACAATATAAGATTATTAATGTCATGTTGCAGTTTCCTTCAGTGTATAGTAAAACGCGTAGGAGAGCACTGGAGCACACGTTGGACAGGTTTCACAGTGACCAGTATCCAAATGCACCGTACTTCTTATTTGGAGACTTTAATTTCAGGACTGACACTGCCAGTGTGATAAAGGTAAGAGGAACAGCTCGATCATAGTTAACCGTGGGAGAAAAGCTTAGCTTTTGTCAACGTTACGGCATCATTGTAATATGCAGAAACTAACGGAAGATACTGAGGAGAGCAAACTGCCGAGTAAAGGCAACATTTCCAGACTGCAGTTTCGCAACAAGGAAGATGATCTGATTCTCACGTTGGGAAAAAAGGAATTCTCGCACTTCGAGCACCAGCATGTCTTTATTGAGAATAGCGGTCAATGGGTAAGTACGCGCCTACCTTTTGCTTCGAATACGATGTGATCGCGACAATAATAATGATGATACGTAGAATTTAAGAATATCCTATAGCTACGATCGTGTTTCGATAAAGATATTCACGTCAAAACTATAAATGTCTGTACAGTTACGCGAGTATGACAGAGAATTAGAAGACTTTGACGGCAGGTTGTTCGAGTTTCCAATAAAATTCGTGCCAAGTTATCCCTTTGAAGAAGACATCAAGGGGGGTACTAATTACATGAAGACTCGAGTACCAGCATGGTGTGACAGGGTATTGTTGAGTCCAACAGCAAAGACACTAGTCCAAGATGTAAGTGAGGCTGCACCTGATTGGCCTCGTTGACGCGACTCGTCTGCCAGTGAGATGGTCAACTAACGAAGCGCCTTGTTTCTTTTCTATGTTAACAGATATCCACATCAAACGCGGTGGAGTACGGCATAATTGGTCCTGCGACGTGCATGGGCGATCACAAGGTAAGACTCTCTTTCTCTCAGTCTTCTACCAGTCTTCTGGTACTAGTCTCTTTTTTACTTAATACTGGGTACATATACTTACGCTTCCTGATTCTCGTGCTGATGATGATTCATTCTTTTAATGATTATGGTGCAGCCTGTTTTTCTGGAGTTTCGAATGAATCTCTAAACACTAAGGTACCTATCTATAAACTTCTCTGTCTGTTCTCGTCTTGATTTTCTCCCTCCAAAAACCCCTAATTTCGGTATCTCAAGTATATAGATTGATCGGGGCTTGCTCGGTGCAGTGTTGTCCCCAGTCTTACTATATTTTTCCCCTACTCATTTTTTCGTCCGCGCTAGCTTTATTTTTCTTGACTTGGCGCAACGAGTATTTGGGTCCACCTGTTGCGTACCTTGCGCCGGGCTGCTTCCTCGATGTCTTTCTTTTTCTCTCTGACTTAACTCAATTTTCATGTTTCCCCTTTAGTTTGTACAAAGTGATCCTACCCGATTTTTGCAATACCATAATAACGAACGCATTAGAATTCAGTGACTTCACCTTACCTATTACTACACTGTCACCATAGGCACACAGTGTGTATACAATTCCCCGCGAAGTTTTCCAAGGCAAAAGTCGCCTGAGCCACGGACAGAAGACATTGAAACCCTATTCGGCACGAATTACCAGTAACCCAATGTTTCCACGATACCTTCTTCTGATTATCGTCCTCTGCACCTATTCGCCTTCGAAGCAACATTATACAGAATACAAAGTACCCCTTTGTCCATTGCTAGCAGTCGATAGGAGAACACTGTGTCGCAGAGACATTGAAGAATGCCTCAAAGAATATCCTAGGAGACTGGACGAGGGCATAAAAATATCTTGAGAGTGCGTGAAGAGTCCCTGTCCAGTGTTGTCCTCCTAGGATATTCTACTTGAGCACAACGCAACATCATTATATGACGGTCGTCCGTTTGTTTTACCGTTTCCAGCCCGTCTTCCTGAGGGCTGTGCTCGCCTCGGACGCAGGTATGAGAAACTGCTGCCGCTTGCCAAACGCACCCGAGTTTTGCTTTCGAGTGCCCGACAATTACCTCGAGTTGTTGTCCATGTTGCCTGATTATCGTAGTTGCGCTGGCGTTCGCGCACTGTCTGTCGACCGTTCGTCTAATCTTTTGCACGCAGTACCCATTAAGCATGACCCTTACACTCCGGATAGCATGGATAGTCCGAGTCCCAATGCGATAATAGTTTCCGGTGAGGTTCCCGACGTAGATTTAGACAATTTAGATAGCCATGGCGACGCCAGGTCGATCCTTCGGATCGCAGCGGCGAGCAGCAATACAAAGCGAATCGACAGAGCGGTCTCGCCGGCTCTGCTAAAGTCCAAACTGGAACTCATCGCACGCTCTAAGAACCGGAACTCTGTGGATTACGAATTCGAGAGCATGGATATCAAAAGAAGTCCCAGCGAGTGTCATCTTCATACTTGGCCGGATAAGGAGGAGCAACAGAGAGGCCTGAGGAAGAATAGGAGTAACAGCGACGTATCCTGGCAGAGGTCGCACCTCCTGACTCAAGCGTGGATTCAAGGTGGAGGAAAGCAAGGATATCACTCGTTTACCCATTTCGGCCAGAGATCATCCCGCTCGAGTCCCGTCGAAGGTAACGAAGGGACCGAGGGTCTACCGTCCGATCTGATAATACCACGCATAGCCATTATCAATGCAAGTAATTTCGAGTCGAACGAGAGTTCTGTGCATTTGCACGACGACAGGCACAGCACCTACTCGGATAACCGACTGAGCACTTACTCTGATCATCGAACAAAGACCATAAGCGGAGACGGTTCCTCTCTCGAGAAGTCTGACGAAATTTGCAATAAAATTGACGAAGAGAGCGAGAAACTCAGCACAAATACCGACGACAAGGCAGAGAGTATCGAGGCGGATTTAACGAAGGATTCGCACGAAGAGGAATTAATATCGAAGAGCATAATGGAGGAGGTAAGGGTCCAGGAGAAAAGAATCCAGTCGATAGACACACGGTTCACTCAAAGTTTCCGTACGAAGCAAAGTCTTCCCGAGGATGTCGGGAATGAAAATGCATCCAAGGATACCGCGGTGGAAACGAGGGAGTATCGTGTGGAGAATTCTGGCACTAAACATATTATTCTGGATCTGCCCGATGGAGTTCCGGAGGATAATGAGACTGTCCAAAAATTGCTTAACAGCGAAGATTCGAATGAAAAGGATCATCGTGTAGGTGCGAAAGAAGGAGAAATCTTAGCGAAGAACTCGACTGACGAAGATCACGCAGAGGCCAATGATATACCAAAAAGTTATCAAACGAACGCTTGCAAGAGCGCCCTGATAAAGGAGAGTCCGAAGAGCTGTACTCGCAAAGCAACGGCCAACGAGATAGAAGTCCTGAGATCCGACAGCAGGCAGGAAATGCTCGCTTCGAAGGCTACAACGAGAAGCAACTCCATTCAGAGTCAAGACGCCAGCGAGAATCCTGGGAACGCGAAGCTGAAGCTAAAGGCTTACGAAGTAACAGAGAGTTACAAGAAGGGCATTGCCAAGAACAAAGGCAGATGCCAGAAGTGTTGCTGCATCGTCTCATGATTTACCTATTGACGTATCATTTATGTCGTTACGTCGATTATCTCGAATCTCTATTATTGCCGATTCTTTTGAATAATGGAACCTACCCAGGAGAATTTGAAATCCTTGTATTTGATTTCCCATAACGGAATCGTAATCGGCACGTAACGTCGAGGACGTCTCCGCTTCGAGGCCGTTAAGAAAGTTTAGTATTATCCAATTGACTTTTTGCGCTTGCGACACGATATGCCCACGGTAATGAATTAATTGCCTTTGGTACGCGTGCGCATGATACACCAATCAAAAACATATTATACGTATTCTGTAGCGGAATTAACGAACGAGCGATTGACGTGCTGCTTGCATGGCGTATTTTAACGCGAATGATTCCTATAGAGAGGAACTATGTTACACGTTATTTCGTTACCTTATCTTTAATTGCGTCACTTAGAGCTTATTATTGTATTGTAGAATTGTAGAATTGTAGAATTGTAGAATTGTAGAATTGTAGAATCTATCGCAACGGCGTTGGTGACGTTTACGTTCGGTCGCAGCTCAAGAACTTGCGCTATTCTCTTACTGGCTGATCTGGCTGATTAGCCTGATTAGCCTGATCTGCCTGACGTAGCTGCGTGCCTTTTGTGCCTCCTGCCTAATCACATAGGCGGCGACGATGCCCGCGCCGCAGAGTCCACGTACTTATCAAGTCCATTCGTTGCACCGCAACATTCTTCTTTTCGTCTCTATGACTTCTGCGACTGACCGGAAACGCCACTGATGTCGTACGTACGTTATGCCAGGATAGTTTATCGCCTGGTACTTCAACTCAACTGCCAAAGTTAGATTATCGTATTAGACAGAATGATGTTATTAATTTATATACCGCGTCACAATCATCCATGTTAAAGTTAAGTTTGCCATTTAAAAATGTATGTCGGTTTAGACTCTACCGAGCGGATTCAACGTCTCCAGAGTTTCCGGTATCCCGAACACGACGCCAAATTTCTCATTAGGTTCGCCCTTCAAGGACGAACTGTTTCATCTATTGCAAGACTATAGCTACCGTTCGGCATTTGCGTTGCGCTCATTTTGGGCTTATGCAATTTGAAATACATTTGGTCAATTGATCGAGCCAATCTCTAATCTTGTTTCCACAGGCGCAAATTGCAAACTCTTGAACGGTCCCTGCAAAATATGCTTTACCTGAATGTCATGCATTTTCCATATTATGTACAAACAAATACGTATAGAGACGGTTAATTTAGTAACGATGCTCATTAATACGTTTTCGCTAGAAAAAAAAAAAAAAATATGGAAATTCGCCAACGCTGACGAATCTCTTCTCCCCGTATACGCAGGATCGACGAGCTTAAAAAGAAGATTTTCATAAATTTTAAGAAAAAACCATGGTGTTGCACGTCCCTCGGTATTTTTACTCAACATCCTACCTCCTCATTTCATTTGTCTTCTTCGTTACGCAACGAAAAGTTGACGTGAAATAATTGGAGGATTTGGATTTATCATTGCAGCGAGAATACGCGTGAAAACTATTGACCAGGCGTCGTTCGTCGCATTAGAAATTGCCATATTAGGTTTTAGTAACACAATGATTTTGCCGAAGCTCTAAAATCCAGGGTTTTCGGTGTACGTGTTGTCTCTATATTAGTCATATTACGACTAGAAATTAACTTACGTCGAACATTAAAGATATGATCAGTGAAGCACCTGTACATAATCTCTTATCGGTTACATTATACGTATATATATCTTTGCATATATACACATACATATTTTTGTAAATATAAACGAATATTTTTTTTCTAGATACCGAGACTGCTTCTTTATTTGCAATCCTTTTTTCTTTTTTTTTCGGGAATTTTCTATACACGTGCTGTTTGCAAAGTACGCAAAAACGATTAGAGTATTTTTTTTAGGTTCACGTTTTCAGTTTTCTACCACGTTACTGTCTTATCCCACATGGATTTCTCAACCTACTAACAAAGCACTATTTACGGTTTGTATAGATTGTCGCCATTGTTACTGCTAATGGATGTCGTTTTACATTTTTCTCGCATTTTTGACCGAGGTAATTATTCAGTTTTGCTTAATACCACTACTGCTACTACTGTTACTGTGACTTTTCGTTTTCCTTCGTATTTTCGATTTTACTTCCACAATTCCCTGCACGTTACTTTTCAGTGTAATCTGCTATTCACACACATGCACACAAACATAATATATAGCGCTATCGCAGTAACGACAGATCCAGGTAAATATTAATGATAGCGAGCAAATATTTTCCTCTGAAAAATCAAGAATCTGTCAATACTGTGATCTGTCATTGCGTCGAGAGTATATGTCGTAAACTAATTTGGCCTTTAACCGTTAATAAAGAAAAATGAATGAATTGTTGACTGGTTCAGACACGAAGGAGATGAATCACGTGGAGGAGACGTTGAGGAGGAATTCGACGAATCTGGTGAGTCCGCAGGATGTCTACAATAACGGTACAGCCACGATAACGCGTTACATCCATATAAAACACGCCGACTCGCCGGTCAAGATCTTCCGTGAGACGACGGTTTGATATTTAATGGACATTTCACTAATTCTCTTAACGGTCTTAGGACGTACAATTTCAATCTCACCATACGCCAATGGAAATCTTTCAATATTCTAAATGTCTGGGTGTTCCTATGCTCTGTGCACTTCCGAAGGATCCCACTCTACGAGTCAGATCTTTTTCAAAGAAATATCCACAGAATCTGGACTACGTGTTCCCAGGCCGAGGTTCATCCTTGGCCTATGAGATGTTCTTATGGTCCAGAGAATCATTGCTACCATCGCTAATGGATTCCTTTATTCGCAGCGTTTAAATTGCTAATCGTAAAAAGGAATTATACAAAATCCGAGTACAACTCGGAAGACCTTTCAATCCGTTCCATCGAGCCTGAAAGTCTAACGATAAGACAAAACCTTCCAGAATTGTTCTGTCCGATCGGACTGGAACAACGGTCTCTTGGGACCATTTCAGTTGAGGATTAACATTATTGATACCACGTGGTATATGGAGAGCTATTCGCTTTAAATTCGCCAGTCGGTTTTGACAGCTGTCATATGCGATGCTTTTGCTTAAGCACCATTCGCCAATCGTTCCATAGCCAACAGGGAGACCATTCTTTATTTTCAATGTTTATTGAACCTCGACATACGTCTATGTACTTGGTATTTACACAATTTTTTACTGGGCATCGGCAATTAAATTTGGCAAATGTTGATTAGGTAAACAAAGTGATTACATGAGAATTTTATCAAATTTGAACCGAATAGTCCTGCAAAAATTTTTCTTTACTTGTGAAGTATATGTCAATGATTATGAACCATTCCCTGAGAATTAGTCGTTATATTAAGTTTTAACGTAATGTATACATTAGCATAAATATTATACTATTGTGTGACACGAGGATGAGGATTATGATACTATGTCCAATGGAGGGGGGGGCGGGGGGGAGAGTGTTCTAATCAACCAAAATGTGCTATTGCATCTTACAATTTAGCAATGAAATTTTATTTGCTAGATTTTTAAAGGTTATTATTGTGAAGCTAATATCGAAATTTTCGAAATATTTAAAATAACTATAAGATCCAGATATATAATGTTCTGCGGACGACTGTGGCGTGTATCGAGAAGAGGAAATCGTTTTGTCGTATTATACATATTGGCAAATGAGTGTTGTACTTTTATAAACATAAATGTACTTATATTTTGTACTGCTGCTATACTGCTGGTACCTTACATCAAGACGATACGTTGAATTTCAGCAAATTATTATGGTTAACAGCATGTTCTATTACGGGAAATAGTTTGTAATGGAGCTGCTAGGCCCTTACGGGGTAAACTTGATTTTTAAAGTAATTTTTATCAGTCTTTAAGCCGGGCGTAAAATAGATTGTGATGTACCTACTACGTGTACTAGTCATTAGATACAAAAATTAAGTTATTATCCCACAGTCGATATTATCAAGACATTAATGTATGTATATTCCGGCAGCGAATATTCGTTCGCCCTTGAATTTAAATGAAGAAAAATAAAGATATCTTTAAAGCGCATCCTGTATACTCGTCAAAGTGGATGAATTCGTGAAATCTGCCCTTAAGTTTTACTATTTTCTAGGACTACTCAAGTCGCTATAATCATTCTTTTTGTTGTTTAACAAAAACCGGCGACCCCTTTTTCGATTTTTCGAAAACAATCGCTATAACTGTCAAACTACCTCAATGGAACTCTAGGCCCATCAACCATTCAAAATTCTCGTAAGTATCTCGTAATCCTTGAAGAAATAAAAAGACTCGTATCTCTTGATCGTAATGAACTTTAATTTCAGAGTACCGAATCATGAAGTCATCAGCTGCTTGAGCACACTACAACCAAATACAGAAATACATCTCGTGGGTCAGAAAATCCTTCCGCCCGCGAGGTAGATCAACCGCAACAGTAAATCCTCCGACTCTGACAGAATGGCAGGTAGAGCTGGCAGGGCAGGTCCGTCAGTCACCAGAACACAGCTGATGCGACAGGCTAAATCGTCGGCCGTTGTCAGAGACACGATACAGCAGAATGTGGCACAACAGCCCGGTGCAGGATGTCCATCAAAAAAGCCGCGAGTACCGAAATTATCAAGAAAAGTTGCAGCACCACCATCGCCAAAGAAAATAGATTTTAGAAAACCAGGCCTGACTAAGGCTATGCTGGCACGAATGCAGCACGCAAAGAAATTTCAAAGCGAATTAGATAAAAGATGCGACGACACAGTCGCTCGGCAGAAAACTAAGCGAAAAGCTGCTCCGCTCGGCGGGGATGCACGATTTGGCAAGGAGAGACCGGCTAGAAAGAAATCCCCATGTCCGCCACGAGCGCGGGAACAACCTCAATGGGAAGCACCGCCTTCTCAACGGGAAATGTCCCCGAGGAGCAAGGCGATGCAGAAAATGATGATGGGTCAGAAGGCTACCGCTAAGAGTCCAGGAGCCCAGGGTGTTCCAGCCAAGACTTGTCAATTAGCCAAACGTATGAATGCCGATGTGGTTCAGGCTGACCCGGTCGGCGATGGTCCCGTCGATAGCATAGTCATACCTGCTGGTACCATAAATGAGAATTGTACTACGATTGTCAGTATTAATCAGGGTAGGGGCGGTGGTGCATCCGCTGGTGCATCCGCTGCTCATCGCTCCATGCAGATGATCAACCAGAGTCTGGACGAGCAGGACGCCGTGGAGGCCGCTGCTGTACAGGAGAAATTGAGCGAAATGCATCAAGCCAGGCGAGATCTGGTGATGGCTGTTGCCAACATCGGCAGCAATACTGCGCAGATGGCAGAGCAGGCATCTATGGCCAGATCGATGCCTCAAGAGGAAAGAGTCATTTACAAACTTCCGGATATCGATCACGAGTATTTACGGCCAAAGTATGGCAAAGACGATAATCCGGCGATTATAGCAGCCAGAGAACATAGGCTCAGAATGGAAGCCGAAATGAAGCAGAGGGAAGTACAGCAACAAATGGAGAGAGATTTCGCCACAGTAGAAAACCAGCTTCTTCCGGACGACAATGAGTTTGAGCTTCCTGCGGCGCCAGAGTATCTATACGACAGCGACCCATCTTGTGAGGAGGATGAAGAACCCGATCCCGTCGTGGTGCCTACGTGTCCACCTAGAAGGAACACTTGTTTGCCAAATCCTGTGCACCGATACTCCCGTCCGGGGGAGGGGATTGGAATTGATGAGCTCGAAAGATTTTTCGATCTGGAAAACTATCCGCCAAGTATCAAAAGTAATGCGTATGCTGGTCCTCCTCCTGGACGGGAAGGTTTGCATCCGGATCTTTGGGAACTCGATGATCCCTGGGTCTGTCAGCCAGATGTACCGGATCTCATTGAATTTGATCTCATGAGCTTCAGTAAATAATTAACCGTTTTCGATCGTTCACTTTTACGCCTATTTCACGAAAAAACCCGTCACATCCTGTCCTTCACTTTTTTACACTTTTTTTTTTCATAAAATCTTACCGTATTATATACACATATACCATATATCTGAATTTTATAGCACCATGTTCGTATCTCGTATAATGACTATAAATATCGTAACGGAAACAGTTTCCTTTTATCCTTCGCTACGTCCAAATTAATATTTCTATAATAAATAATTTGCCCGAACCCGTGCACAAAATAACTTTATTGGAAAAAAAAAAGGATAACCATGGCAATTTATTTATTTTTTGACATGTAATATTTACCGGAAAAAAAATCTTTACGATCTTAAACTCCGAAATCATGAACTCGTTTGAATGATATAATTTTTTTTTCCTAATTTTTGGTTTTGGTTTTATAATAAATCGCTAAGATTACGTGCGCACATTGCTACCGGGATTGTAATCTCCTTTTGACACGATTGCCTCAACTTCTGCTCGATGTTACCAATTCTTGCGTATTGGTCGCCTTCAACTTTGGGACGATGCTTCATATTCATTTCTACCTGCTCGTTCAACTTGTCTCGTGCAGTAGACAAATTTTTCACCATAGATGACAATCTTTCTTTAACGACCTTTCCTCCCCCGTGAAAAGAATGACATGTATACAATTAACAAAATACATGACACGGGCACGATGGAAAATTAATAAATTTTTATATTCATCTCTTACTTGTACTCGTCTTGCAGACACCACTGGTGTATGGCTGGGAATGAAGGGTGGTTTCACGAGCCACCAAACCTGATAACATTATTCACTGATTTTCCTTCTTCTAGTTCGTTAAAAATAATTAAGTGTCATCATATAATTAACGGACTCGTTCCATTAAGCAATCTTCGTCATCGCAAGCTTCGAGATCAGCTTCATTGCCGTCGACAAAAACCATATCCGTGATATCTTCATCATTCTCATTCTCTAAAGGACTCGGTTCATCCTCGTAACTTCGGAACGTATTAGGCCCATTCGCAAAGTGCCTAAAATTGTCATGATCTTTCCTGGTCCTGTCATCACCAAGAGATTTCTGTACGGTCAAAAAATTACCAGAGTCTTCGTCGTCATTAAATTCTGTATGGAAATTCAATGTCGTTGCACGATGATCAATCAGGTTGGAAAGAACAAACGAGAAAAAAGGTGATAAATACTTTGATAAACGTCTTCCTCTTCCTCGGGATAATAAGCGATGGTTCGTTGCTGATCAAAACCGCTACTCGTTATTTTTGCAAACTCTAGAGCATTATTGGCTTCTGATTCATACTCAGCGTTGCAACAACATGACATGATGATTTTGAGAAATTGACACTCAGCCTGAAAAAATATGAGACGTTTTTATGGGTAATAATATCGAATCGAGAAATTATAAAAATAACAGAAAAGCATCTTGGAACATTTGAACCATAGTTATTCTATTACCCAGGATTACATAAATTCAGTTCAAATAATGATGTCCTAAGGGTGCTGTCTCATGTATAGAAGACAGAACAGGAACGACGGAATCGGAAAGTAGTTTGGTGGGGGTTGACCAATCGTCTTTGTTCGGAAAATGTCAAACGATGCACGGGTTCCCCATGTAGAAGAAAAAACGGAAATTCGTAAAGTATAAAAATCAATTTTCGTTCATTAAAATCAATAATAAGGACACAATATTGTGTATAGATTGAAATACAAAGATTTGGAATTCATAACATTTATCGAAGTTTTAAGGTCAGAATGTCTGTCCGTTTTCTGAAATATATGGTACATGGGGTACCCGGGTGTCGTTTGACATTTTCGGAACGAAGATGATTGGTCAACCCCCACCAAATAATTTTTCCAATTTCGTCATTCCTGTTCTGTCTTCTGTACATGGCACATCGACTACATCGACATACCTATAAGTGTGGGCCCATACAGGTAAGTATAATACACAGATGAGTAGGGAGATGCTTAACGCTACGGCTTTAGGCGCAGAGACGAATAGGGGAGTGCCCAACGCTATCGTTTTAGCTAAATCGTTTGTGCTAAATCGTAGCGGCGAGTGTAGAAGTAGCATTTTTTTTTATCATCGCCTCGTAAACGTGAACACGAACGTATAGCTTGGCGGGCAGAGGTTCTCCGCTACTCATCGCTGGTCCCAAAGCAACCTTTAGAATTTCCTCTCTGCCGCCACCAAACGTTTCTACTCAATTTTCGAATCTCCTATTCTTTCCTATGTCATGTATATTATATTGCATTGATATATTTAATATATCTCTAATGATATTGTTATTGCTAATATTTCGCAAAACATATGTATGTACATCTGTACTTTATACTGTAGCATTATTGTTTTTGTCAAATAAATTAACTTAAAACATTTATACACTTTTCGAATCTCCTATTCCTTCCTATATCTCCATCACTCTCCTCCTAGTATGTCCTTAAAAACAAAGTTTTCAAAATGTCCTTTGGAAAAGGAAAAGTTCAAAGTTGTAGCGCATGTAACATATCACACGTATATTATATTGTAGTGATATATGTATTATATTTCTAATTGTACTGTTATTGTTAATCTTTCGCAAGCCATATACTGTATACGTATACTGTATCATTATTCCATTTGTTGAATAAATTATCTTGTAACACTTATACACGTTGATATTCTTTTGCCCTATCCGAATATCCCAGAGTACGAATGAGTTCTGTCTCTCTCTTACTCTCCTCCATCCTAACTGCATCCTTCACCTACTCCTAATATAGTTTGAAATTCAATTCTCGAAATTGCACCTCTGAGAGGCTGTATCTCGAAAACGGCTTGGTTTAGGGCTTTTTCCTTGAAATTTTGAAAGATCTCTTAATGCAGAAAGTCAGAATACTTCATAGAAGAGGCTAGTACAGGTTAGATTGCGATAGGGCAACTTTAAAAAAATTGCTTTACTTTTTGGTACTCGCACACTTTTTTTTGAATTTTGAAAATACTCGAAATTGCACCTTTGGGAGGCTGTATCTCGAAAACGGCTTGGTTTAGGGCTTTTTCCTTGAAATTTTGAAAGATCTCTTAATGCAGAAAGTCAGAATACTTCATAGAAGAGGCTAGTACAGGTTAGATTGCGATAGGGCAACTTTAAAAAAATTGCTTTACTTTTTGGTACTCGCACACTTTTTTTTGAATTTTGAAATTATCAAGCATTCATAGTAAAGGATTTCCATTAGTTCGAATTTTCGCCGCTAAGAGGGCAGCACCCCCTGGGCATGATATGTGGCGCCATCTCTGAGAGAACGAGTGAACTTTCTCCGATAAAATAATTCCGAATTCAATTTAAAAATCCCATCGTCGAAATTTCAATGAGTAAATCTTATTAAAGAATTCGCATTAGTTCGAATTTTCGCCGATAAGAGGGCAGCACCTCCTGGGCATGATATGTGGCGCCATCTCTGAGAGAACGAGTGAACTTTCTCGAATAAAATAATTCCGAAAGTAATTCGAAACTCAGCTGTATCAGGCTGGTACAGATGAAACTGCGATAGGGCACTTTCAAAAAATCCCTTTACTTTTTGCAACTTGCAGATCGAGTGAAAGTAATGGCAGAGAAACTGCAGCATAGCCGAAAAGGGGTGTAAAGCGTAAGGTTGGAGGAGAAGGAGAAGGATGCTGTTAGGACGGAGGAGTGTAAGAAAGAGACAGAACTCATTCGTACTCTGGGATATTCGCATACGGTAAAAGAATATCAACGTGTATAAGTGTTTAAAGATAATTTATTCAACATATGCAATAATGATACAGTATACAAAGTACAGATGTACATACATCGTATATGGCTTGCGAAATTTTAACAATAACAGTACCATTAAAGATGTATTACATATATCACTGCAATATAATATACGTGTGGTATGTTACATGTGCTACCACTTTGGACTTTTCTTTTTTGAAAAGACATTTTAAGAACTTAATTTTTAAGGATATATTAGGAGGAGAGTGGTGGAGATATAAGAAGGAATAGGAGATTCGAAAGATGTATGTGTTACATGATAATTTATTGGGCAAATACAATAATGATACAGTATACGTATACAGTATATGGCATGCGAAAGATTAACAATAACAGTACCATTAGAAATATAATACATATATCACTACAATATAATATACGTGTATTATGTTACATGCGTTATCACTTTGGACTTTTCTTTTTCCAAATTACATTTTAAAAACTTAGTTTTTAAGAATATACTAGGAAGACATAGGAAGAATAAGGAGATTCGAAAATAGAATATAAATGTTTGGTGGCAGCAGCCAAGGGTGATGTTGTTGAAGGGGAAAAGAGGAACATTGTTAAAAAGAAAGAGTGAAGAAGAGAGATGTTTATGACTGAGGGAACAAGTGAATAAAAGATAAGGAAATAAGGAATTAAAGAAGAAATAAATATAGAAGAAGAAGAAAGTTGGAAATGGATATAGAAATAAAGAAGTGAGAATAAGATAATAAGAAATAAATGATAAAAGTGAAAATAAGAAAGAAATGAATATAGAAATGAAGTGAAGAAGTAGAAAAGTAAGGAATAGAATTATGAAAGTTGAGAAGAAATAAGGAAAGAGATAAATAAGAAAGTAAAGAATGAAATATAAAGAAATAAGGAAGTAAAGAAGAAATAACTATTGAAATAGAAGAAGGTTGGAAATGAATATGAGGGGTATTTCCAAGAGACCAGTATAGGAGACCGGCTCGAGGAAGAATGAGCGCTCCGAGTCCGGGCCCTGCCTCGAGCGCCCCCCACCATCCGCCTGCTACGGCTCACCGAGTCCTGCGCGACGAATATGCGCGCACACAATTTTGGGCAACTTCCAGTATTTCTAAATATGCTTGGCCAGAATTTCCGATTTCTAAGTGTTAATATTTTACTTTATTTTTATTGATTTAATTAATTATTTTAATGTTCCAAGTACCTAATTTATTAATATTTCAATTTGAACGTAATTTATTTTCGATATTCTACAGTTTCAATTCAATTTTTATCTACTCCGTATATTCTGCGAGATTTTGATATATCCTCAATTTTATATTTTGAATAAATTTTGAAAGTAAATCAAGATCCATTAATATTTAGTAATATTCTGAAAGCTTTATACAATCTTTCGAATTTTCAATATTTCTGTGCAACTCATTTTTTTATTCTTTTTCCCTCTTCCTTCTTCTTCTTATTCCTTTTTGGCTTTATGCCCTTATAGACGGCCAAGTGCCCTCAAGTGACTCGTTCTTTTCTTCGTCTCATGGAATTTTATTAGAACCTTCCATTGTACAGTTGCACAACAATATTTTTCCAAGAAATAACTTCCAGTCTTCACCTCTGTAACTGTCTCGTATCATCTAATAGATAATCTGCGAGAGGCTTTACCTTACATAAGTAACGTTTTGCATAATATCACATTTACCATCCACGTTCGTGCCAGGATATTAGATTTCTCAGGATACAACATGCACTTCAGATAAACGTATAAGATTTTCTAACAGCAAGGAGGAATGATCTCCGCGATTGCTTCATCTACGTAAGTCTTGCCCTCTGTTCATTCAACAGACTATACCTACATGAAGGAACTCTGTAAATACGATTAGAATTTTAATGGCAAATTTGAACTAATTTTCATAATTAAGTAATAACGCTATCGAAAGGAAAACGTCAGTCTTTCAATAAAATCAAACGGATCAACAGAATCCAAAGAGTGAATGTCAGTATGCCGAACGTACCGACTAGGGCCCGCAGCGATGGAGGCTAATGGACGCCAATGGGTGCTTTCTGGTGTTTCTGGTTCGCTGCTGGAGTTCAGTGGAGTTTGAGGCCCCCGAGAGTTGCGCCAATGTAGACGTAGCATCCTGCTTCGGGGGGACAGTTGTTAAATGTCGAGATAAAACAACAACATTTTCTTCGCACTTTTCCAGTGCAAATTGCAATGTAATTACTGTATATAAATGTGTTGAGCGTACAGTCAAAATGACGGTTACGTGGAAAAAGCTAAAGGAACATCTGGGCGTAGGTGAGCAAATCATTTCGAGTCTTTATTTACTCTGTAAGTGTAGATAGATTCTCCCACATCCTGGGAGGTGCCCTGCGGGACCAGATAATTCAATTTTAATTGCCCAGAGCACGCGGGTACGCTTCCACTAATGTAGAAGCCCTATATTTTTATGGAAATCTAGTAATGTTTTGCCAAGGAGAACTAATTACTGCCTGACGTAGACTTTATCAACTATTTATTATTATGAACACGTTCAGGCAGGGGAATTTAATTGATGATAGTATTTAGGTCATCGTAAATTCCTTGCCCAATTGCTACCTTGTTCTTCGATACCTTTGTTGTACATGATCTCTCCAATTTGCAATGAACATTTGTAGTGACTCAGATTCTTGCAAATGATTCATTCCATCAATTCTCTTTGCATTTTTTTTTATGGACTGTCAAGTTATGTGGAGTTTTACTGCATAACCTAGGCGATTAAACAATATCGGAAGATCATTTATTCCGAAACAGGAATACAAAAATATTAATATTTTGAAATGCTTTAGTAGAGTTTATGCATGCCCCCCCCCCCCC